GGTTATGCGTTTGGTTTATTTCTGCGCTTATTTCATGTTGCTATGGTTTAATTACCCAAGGTTGAGTGGGTTTCACTCGCAATGAAGTACAATTCAACGCGATGTCTTCATATCGTTCTTCTGCTTCAACCAACCACATTGGAATAGGACTCAACTCTTATTTCATAATCGAAGGACCAACATTTCAATAAAGAGTTGCAATCCTTCTACTGAATATCTCATAAGAATCTATTAGAATAAAGCTAACAAAAAACTTTCACGATAGAAGATCATATTTGTTATTATCATTGTGGCCATTGGAAAATTAAAAAGGAGAAATTTCAAACATGGCAGTGTATTTTTGCATGAACAAAAAAAAGATTGCCGCAAGGTCAAGTTTTGTGACAACATGAAAAGAACTTTTTTTTGAGAAAATTTACCGTTTCAGAAGAAAGAATGACAATTGTTGTAATATTATAGTTTAGAAGATTATTTGAAGATGATAATGTGTGAAAAAGAAAGAAGAAAAATTTCCATGAATGCAATAACATTTTCAGCATTTGAAAAAAATGAAATTTTTTTTAACTTCAAAAAAAAATTGGCATTTTGACAAAGACGATAAAAAAGCAGGTTTGATCAGGCTTTTTTCTTGTCACCTGTCAAATATTGCATTTTTAAACATTAGAAACATACAAATGAAAAATAAAGATGGGCAACCGTACTTGTCTGCATTTCTTCAAACTCTATGAAGTTAATTAAACAGGTCCTTCACTTTCCTTTTATTTCTTTCATATCGTTCGTAATACTCAACGAGTACTTCAACAAGGCTATTCCAAAATAAATTCTCCTATTGGAAATATTTATTGTCTCTTCAAGTTTTCTCAGTAAATTTTCGCATGTTATTTCAATTCTTGATTTTTTCATACATTTTCACGTTAGAAGCTAGTTATCTAAGATCTTACTCTTCGGATCAAATAAATGCATTCATCGATTCTGCTGCAGAACTCAATCTTACATCAGTTTGTCGATCCAGTCTTCGTAAAGTTAGAGTTTTTTATTTATTTTGTGAGTACAGTTTGAAAATATATCCGAGGAAATCTTTTCAATAATAATCTCTAATTTAAAATTCAAAGTTAGGAAATTTAGAAATTACACATACAAGTAAATATTGTTTTGAAGAGGAACGAAAATATTGTCCTTTACAGAAAACTAAAAAATTTTTGAATGCTTAAATACGGCAGAAAAGAAGTAAACACAAACTAACTTGAAATTTTGTTTAAAATTAATGAACGTGAAAATACTGCAGCTAACTAATTTTATAAAACTTAAGTTAAGAAAATTAAACATCGTTTCATTCAAAGTTTTAAAAATATATGGAAAAATTTTAAAATCAATTTTAGATACATGCTTTCTTATTCGCTTATGATACAATTCAAGATCAGCGTGATTTCTTCTATCAATCTTACGCCAGTTCTGAAGACGAGAAATTCTTATTGAGCAGAGATCGAAATCATTGGGTATACATTATATTAATTTTAGCCTAAAATTTAAATTGAAGCTCAAAACTAATGCAAAAAATTTTTTTTCACAAAATTATAATTTATCGAAAAATATTAATTTAACTTATTTCATTCATCGTTTTGTAGCACTATCGTTTCACACAATGCATCAAAGTTTCCGCTGAAACAGAAGCAAGTGCATCCGAATATCCATTCATATACTGCAATGCTTATAAAAATTTGCAAAGTAATTCATCTGCAATTGGTTTATGCTTACCTGCCCCTTGTTTCCAAGATAAATTACAAGTAGGTGGAATTAAAAAAAATTCCTGATTTTTTCAAAATCTATTAAAGACTAATCATTGATTCATTAGAAGATTGAAGTTAGAATAAAATTTTGAAAATTTTTTCATTCTTATTTATTCTACTGCTAACAAATTTCATGTCACTTCACTTTTTTTAAGTAACTTTGTTCATTTGTTTTATTGATTGATGTGTCAATGACTGATTATCAACTACAAATACAGTATGATGAATTGATTAGAAAAAAATGGAAGGCAAAAAAAAGATAAAAGACAACAATTGAAAGCTTTTAAATGAATGAAAGTTTAATGAAAACAAATGATAAGAATTAATGAATAAATTATAGCTCGTACATCACTGGCAGAGAAGTACAGGTATGAGGCCTGAAAATGCAACAGTTCATGATATGAGGCTTGGAAACATGACAGCTTATGAAACAGTAAGTTGCAGCAGATCGAGATATGAAAAGCAGTGGTTTCATCGACCATTTATTGTTGCTTGTTACGTTTCCAACAAAGTACTTTTTGCACTTGTATCATGTGCCGGCATTTATCATGTTATGAGAGGAACGAAATCAAAGTAATTTATGCATCTTGAAACTTATAAAATAAAGCAATTTGCTTGTGTGAAATTTAGAAAATTTATCAAAAAAAATTTATTAGGAGGAAAATTTTCCGCTTGAGTTATTAGCGTAATATTAATGCCAAAGCAATATTAATGTATGCAAAAAAATAAAAATTTAAATTTCTATTTTAATGATTTCTAATCTTTTATAGATCATTTGTCATAGATGCATTTCTGGCCTTCTCAGCAGTTCAGACTTTTCAAACAATAGTAAAGAAGTCATATGGACAAAAGAAGATGATTACATGTACATTTGGGCTGCGTGCCATTGCAGCAATGTGGGTAATCATCGGACATACTTCTATGTTAATTCAGGTAAGCCTAATTATAATCCAAAGAGCTTAATTGTGAAAACTTTTTAGTTTGTTTTATTTGATTGTTTAAGGAAGAGCTTTGTTTTAAGCACAATCGAATAATTGCAACAAAAGTTTATTAGTTAAAGGATTTTATCCGTTTTCGCGTCACAAGATATTTATCAAAAGTTGTCAATAGTAGAATCTATCACGTAATTATTTTTTTTACTTGATAATCTGAGTGAATAGTTCGAGACTGTTTGCTGAGTAATGGTTTAGAAACAATTCGAATAAGCATAAATGGAGTACTTGGAGATAAAGAAATTTGACCTAATTTTGATCACTAGAGCAAAAATTTTTATTTTTCAGTTTATTAATTAACGACGTATCACTGTTCACTTATTATTTCCTTGCAATGTATAAAAGTTAAAAAAACGGATTTTTTCAAAATTTCAGGGTTACTTAAAAAATTTGAATGAATACAGAGAAACATTGAGAGATGGTTTTCTTTATCAAATATTAACAAACAGTTTCCTGAGTGTAGATATATTCTTCCTATTGAGTGGGGTTCTAAACGCCTACAGCTGGTTTCAACGGAAAGAGCGCAAAGGTTTCATTGCAAATTACAC